TGTTTGTTTGTTTGTTTTAAGCTGCTTTGGAGCAATTATGAAATGTGCTATTCAAATACACTTACATTCAGTTTGCGGTCTGCAAGTTTTTTATTATTATTAAAAAAATTTTTTTTTCAGCAAATATATATTAAATTGATCAAAAGTGATAGTAAAGACATTTATAATTTTACACGATTTCTATTTCAAATAAACACTCTTTCAAAAACTGTTGATCAGAGAATCCTGGGGAAAAAACACAGTTTCCACAAAAATATTAAAAATAAAAATGATTTAAAACCCTTTAACTGTCACCCGTCCCCTCTGTGGGACGCCTAAGTTTACTTCACTATATTACAATTAAATCCTAATCTAATCATGACAAACTATATATCGTTGGAAAGGTCTAAGACTCCTAAATAGATATTTTACCAATGATTTTAATGTTTTCGTTCATGAATTATAAAAATTTAAGTTTGGATCGTGCACTTTCATGTCTATGTTCAAAAATGTGAGTGACAGTTAAGGGGTTAAATAAAAAATGATTTCTGAAAGATCATGGTGACACTGAAGCTTGGAATAATGACTGCTGAAAATTCAGCTTTGCATCACAGGAATAAATGACATTTTAAATATATTAAAATAGAACATTTTAAATTGTGGTAATATTTCGCAATAATATTGTTTTTACATGCTTTTTGATCAATTAAACTCAGCCTTAGTGGGCATAATCTTACTGACACCAAACTTTTTCATACTGTAAATTGAATTAAATTGAGTTGTTTTTAATTCTATATAATCAGTAGTCTTGACTGTTTTGTCTTTGTAGGGTTTGAAAGGTATTTTGTCTGCCAACTTAAACATTTAAAATGAAATTTGTCGAAGCTCACATTGCTTATTTAATTTCATAGCCATATACCATATTTACTATTTTTGAACCTTTATTTGTTCAAACCTTTGCTGGGAATGTCATTTAGAGAGGCATTATGTTTTTGTGTTTTATGGATACGGTGGTTAGCATGTGCCATTTAGAGTCATTCCCGTTTCCTGCCCTCATCCTCTCAACATTTCACTCTTTTGTTTTTGTTTATTATAATAATTATGATTAATTATTCCTGATAAGATTGGATGCAATCCAGTCATTATTGAGAGCCGCTCTACATAATGCTTTTGTGCTCCATTTGGTCGTAGCTAATTATTATGACCTTCAGCTGAGACATTAACAGAATAGCTGTATATGAGGCACAAAATATAGCAGTAATTTGTTTGAACTGAGAGATACAGGATGTCTGTGAGGGAGCGTTTCTTCTGACTGGAAGCATGGATGAGATGAGATGCATCCTTACTTTAAGTTCTCACCCTGACTGAACCCAACAGAGTGTCCTTACCACAGTGCTGATAGCTGACCAAAGATACATCTAACATCTTGATGATGTTTATCTCAGGTGAAGTATCGATCCCAGATCCGTCCCTGCGTGTCTGCTCGTAGGATCTCACACGTAATCAAACTTTCTCATCAGGCTGAAGAGTGCAAATCCTTTTTCTGTTTTCGGGATGTTTACGGGATGTAGCTCAGAGCTGAGCCGACAGCCTGTCCCAGAGGAGGTGCGATGTCACGGCTGGTCTGTGACATCAGGAGTGTTCCTGTCAGTGTGTGTGGGAGCTCAGTGTCTGTGTGAGTCACCCGGAGAAGAGGGACGACTCCAGCCTGTATGTTGAACATTGGAGCACTCCTGTTGGCCCCAGGCCGGCTGGGAAACAGAGCGTCCTGTGATGAGAGTGAGAGTTCAGGACTTTTATGGATACGTGACGAAGGGACATCCTCAGCATTGCTGCTACAATAGCTGTATATCTATGTTTGTTACAAATTCCCTTTAAGGCAGTCAGTGCACTCTGTGGCTGTATTGGTAACACACCTGAGCAGCTTTTTGCTAAGTACATAATGTACACATGTACACTATTGTCGAAAAGTTTGGGGTCAGTAGGATATATATATATATATATATATATATATATAACGGAAAGTATTCAGTATATAAAAATTTATTATTATTTTTTTTGGAAAGAAATTAATACTTTTATTCAGCAAGATTCATTAAATTGATCAAAAGGGGAAATAAAGACCTTTATAATGTTAAAAAAAGATTTCTTTATTGAAACAAATTCTGTTCCTTTTAACTTTACATTCATCAAATATAAAGTTTGATCAAACCTCAAAGAATCTTGAAAAAATGTATCTAGGTTTCCACAAAATGTTTTCAACATTGATGATAATTAAAAACAATTATGCACCAAATCCACATCCACATTCTGAAGGATCATGTGACACTGAAGTAATGGAAAATTCTGAAAATTCAGCTTTTCCATCACAGGAATAAATTATATTTTTAAATATATTAAAATAAAACATGAGATTTAAGGTGAGCGTGAAAAAAAAAAACTTACTGACGCCAAACTTTTTTCTTTGTACTTTAAAAGTATCTATATAAGGCTGAAATCTCCAAAATGATTATGAAATCTTTTACCTTTTTTCTGAATATTTTTCAAATGAATAATTTTATCATGAAGTTCGCAAATCATGCTTAAGAACAATCACAGCCAAACAGAAGATATTTCATATTTAATAGAGTTATGTTGCACTAGATTTCAGACCAATGAGCTTTCACTGGAGCGGTTCAGCACAATGCTGGAGACCTCAAGCAGTTTTTAAAATGTCTTGATTAACAAACTCCGATTTAGACGGAAGAGATTTTAGTGTCTCATGTCTGGTTAGCTTATGCTTGATTGTCACAGATATTGAAATTGTAGCCACAATATTTATGTGCAAACACACTTATGGTAATTCATGGAGGTAGCGAGATGAAATAACACAATTTGCTGTTATTTAATCTGTTGTCTCCTGTATAAATCTCAAACCTGCTGTAGATTTTCCTTTTAAGTGCATCTAGCTCTCAGAGCTGAAACACTGAACACTTTCCCCTAGTGATGTTTGCAGAGCGACACAAAGATTATTTACCGTTTCTTTCTTCCCTTGGCTCTGATGAAAAACATCATTTGATTTATAGCTCTCTGTAATATTTCCACATCATTTGCCACACTCAAACAGTAAAGCCACAAGACCCTGAGGTTCTGTAATCCATTTTAACAGAGCCATTCAGTTACTGCAACAGCAGCCCAAAGGCTCGGCGTGGATATTAATCTAACCTCTTCTAATGACTTTCTGTTTGAATTTACTTCACTCCTGCATTTAAAGAGATGGATATGGTACGAGCACATGGATTTGAAAAATCAAGCATTATAAATCCATATGTATATAATATTATCAATATGAGTCTAAAATGCATTTTTTACAAGGATTGTACAAGCACTTCTTCAGAGTGATGTAAGAAATACGTTACGTTTCAGCCAGTTAAGTTTTGCGTGGTTCACCATGCCTGGACTAGCTGGTAAATAAACAGGAAGTGTGGATCCATGAGCAGTGGGTGTGTTGTTGTGGCTTTGCATAGGCATTGATTTATTTCGAATGATTTATTGGGCAGGCGAATGAGTTAGACACCTCTTGAAAAGCAATTAGTTAGCCAGATGACATGCAGAATAACGTAATTTGCTGTTGCTCCATGCACTGTCTCTGATCTTTTCACCCTCTTACACCGTTTGCAATATCCTAACAAAGCACATAGTCAATACAGGATCAAGCCTAGTGGGAGGTGAATGTTTATAATGACTCAATGAAGTGCACACAGTGTACTCGCACACATTCAATACAGACCGGATCCATAGACCGAGCTGAAGAGCCATCCATCCCCAAACTCCATTAGCATGTTTATGCAACACTGCAACATAGATTGCTTTTGGAAGTGCTAATGAGAGGATGCATATAACAGAAGAGTTAGGATTATTAAGGGGGAAAAGCAGATAAAAGGGGAAGTAGTTATGTGAGGAGGATGGCAGAGGGACAAAAATGCAAAAGTGTTTTTTATTTAACAGTTGTTTTTTGATTAAGGCGAGACACTGCAGGCAAAAGCTGTTTTTTAAGCACCTGGCTATTTTGAGATTTGGGGCTTTTTGGCTTGTTATTAAGTTTTTTGTTCTAGAAATGTATGCAAATTAGTGAATATATAATAAGATGATGCCTTATTTTCTTTGCATATTTAAACATAACTTTTCAGAAAACATGTAATACAAACAAATGTTTTTAATTCTTAATGTAATCAGTCAAATTTGTAAGTATGGTGATATCTATTAGTTGTTTTTTACCCTATTCACCTGGGGTGTCTCGCCTTAATTTAAAGTAGAGTTACAAAATAATGATTGTTTTTTGGGGGTTTTTTTTGCAGTATTGTTTTAATACCATTGAGATACCACAATGGTATAGTTTTATTAATATTTTTTAAAATACATTTTCCATTTATATTTTAAATGTAAAGTTTTATTAATGTTTTATGTTATGTTTTTTTTTTGTTTTTTTTTAATTTGACTATATAGTTTTTATTGAGTATCTCAATTTTAGTTTTTTTTCTTGTTTTATCTCAATTTTATTTATTTTAGTACATTAAGTTAAACTAAATGAAAACAAGTGAAAGATGTCTTTAATTCTACATGAAATAAAATATTGTTTGTATATTTTATTTCAGTTAATATTTATTTTATTAAAAACATTTTTTTGTTGGTTTTAGTTTGAGTTAATTATAATAACCATGGTTTTCAAACAGATTTTCCTCCTTCCCCCTCATCTGCCATTGGTTGGACAGACAGATAGTCCCACCCCAAAACTCATGCCATTGGTTGATGTTGTTATATGTTTTATACTTTTGCAGAGATATCAGTCTATAAAATGGCTTATAGTTGTCTTTGCATAATAACCTGAGAAATACAATTATTTTACAGTTACTCTCTAGACACTGCTTTTGTGTATATTTGTATCACCATATTACTTCTTACTATCCACTGTGTCACGTAAAGGATTTGAAATCTCAAACCTCATCTTGCATCTTTTTTCTCCTCCCTCCTTTGCCCTTCAGGAACACTTCACACCAGAGTGCAAGTTTAAGGAGTCAGTGTTTGAGAACTACTACGTGACGTACTCCTCCATGATCTATAGACAGCAGCAGTCGGGCAGGGGCTGGTACCTAGGCCTGAACAAGGAAGGAGAGATCATGAAGGGCAACCATGTGAAAAAGAATAAGCCCGCTGCACACTTCCTCCCCAAGCCTTTGAAAGGTAAGTCACTACCTCAACACACTATGTAGTCACTCTTATTGCTATTAACGCAGATAAGTTGCTGTATAAAATAATTTTTGAAAGTCAGTATCCAGCTCTAAAACATTTAATCGACTAAAAATGAGTGCAAGCTCTATAAAAAGCTTCTCATAATCATGAATGCCTGGAAAAGACATTTGTTAGTTTGTGGGAACCCTGATGATTCATCTACCTGACAGGAAATATAACACAAGGCATCTATTGTATATTGTACCTTTTTTCATTGTCAAAATGGAATTCCATTATATGTGCCCCAATGAAAGCTCTAAACTACAGGCTCTGGACCTGTGAGCACACAATCTGCCCTTCCATTGTCCCTCCACCGCTGTTCTCTCCACACGTTCATCTGCCGGCTGCATATTTTCTTGTCAGCGAACACAGAGAGAGTGCGCTCTAAGCACAAATCCAAACTCTGTGGAAGTTTTTTGTTGTTGTTTTTGTTGCTTTGGAAAAAGAATGAATGAAAGCTTACATGTTAAACCATTAAGAGACTCTACGCATAAATATTACATTTATTCCTGAGCATGTGCCAATTTCAAGGTAAACATTTAGTTTTATTGCTTTTAGATTGACTTTTAATGCCTTGCTCGTCATTTAGTAAAGACGCATAATTAGGATTTCTCTCTTAATGAAGATGAGGCGGTTCTCCAAACTATGAGCTGCTTTGTTTTTTATGTTAAGCAGTAACTTATCAAATGACTCATGCTGCACAAATGAGTTTTTGAACATAATGTCTGATAATGTCATGCAATTCAGCTACTTTAAAAAATCAGTAACGCTTTTCATTGCTTAAAGAATTAAAACAAGGTCTTTTATTTGATTATAATTAAAAATGGAGGCTTAGCAGCTGAGAAACATTTTGTTTTCAGAGAAAATGCCTTAGCCCCTGAAAATGCATTTCCTTTTTCTAAAGAGGCTTGTAGTGTGGTGAGAGGATAATGGTGAGTGTTGGTAATGTAAGAGACAGCAGGAGTAATGCATTAGCTTGGAAGGACAGTCTGGTGCTACTGGCTCCACACTGCATTCACTGTGGAGATGCCAGAGGCCAGTGCACAGCCATTGAGTGAGATTTATGCTTAAAAAGGTGAAATAGCAATGTAAAATACACCTATTCAAGATACATTCTCTGAATAAAAGTCCCAAGCAAGTTGCTTCTCACGTAAATGCTGTCTTGTTTTAAGGATGTTTACATATGTTTACTGGGAAGACTTTTTTTCCCCTTTTACATTAGCTAAGTAGTAAGCCTAAGATAGTCACACATTCAATAATTTAGATGCTTCGCCTAAATTTAGTCAGGTGTTTTAAAACATGTGTAAATACATGAAAATATTGGTTACATTTTATGATACATTAATTAATTTAACAATTAACATGCGTTAATGCAGTAGTTTTATATAAAATAACAATACTTTTACAGCATTTACTAGTCTACATGTAGGTTAATGTTAAATTTTAAATACCATTCAGAATTTGGCATCAGCAAGATTTTGTTTAATGTTTTTCTAATAAGTGTCTTATGTTCACCAAGGCTGTGTTTATTTGATTTAAAAAATACAATAAAACAGCAATATTATGATACATTATTACAATTGAAAAATTGTTTTCCATTTTACTTCAGTCTTCAGTTTCACATGATCCTTCAGAAATCACTCTAATATGCTGATTTGCTGCTCAAGAAACAATTTTATCAATATTGAAACTTGTGCTCCTTAATATTTTTGTGGAAACTGTGATAATTTTTTTGGAATCATTTCATGTATAAACAGAATTTCTTTGAAATAGAAATATTTTTGAACATTATGAAAATCTTTACTTTTGATTTATTTAATGCATCCTTGCTGAAAAAAAAAGTATTATTAAAAAAATCTTACTGTCCCTTTTAAACTAGTATAAAATATATTTATATTTCAAGCTAAATTAAATTAATGTACATTAACGTATTACAGATGAAAATGAACTAACAGTGATCAATAAGTATATAAAGAATTAAGATTAACCTAGAATAATAATGCTGTGAAAAGTTAATTGTCAACCTTGTGCATTAACTAGTGTTGACAAATTAAATGTTATTGCAAAGTGTTATCATAATCTTTCATGTAGAAAAGCGACGCTTGTGTCAGTTATGAGTTTAGTTGTTGTTGAGGAGAGTAATTTTGAAGAAAGAGAGAATTGGAATTTTGCTCGCTGCCTAATAAAGATTCTCCAGCAGTGTTCTTCCAGAGGATCTGTCTCCTCGCTGTGAACATGGCTTCGGCTGCCAGCTCTCGGCTCACAAAGTACTGTAGTCTCTGTCCAGAGTGCAAACACATATAAAGCCTGTACGATCATTACCATTGCCGAAGAACAAGGCATCATATGGCTGATGTATCTGCATCGATAATCCCTGAGCTTGGGGCCTCATTCATGTTCAGTTACTTTAATTAGAAAAAATGTTTTAAACATTTAAAAGTGCTTAACACTTCAACCATGTATTGCCGTATTGACGCAGTCACACTTTAAAGCACACTGGTCCAGAAGATTTGATGAGCAGGTATGTGACAGCCCAGAGAAAGCTCTACAGAGTGCACTAATAATGACCTGGCCACCGGTCTCTGAGACTCCTGCATCCCTCTGGCCAGAAGCTCGACACTCACTTGGACAACCAATACGTCAACTATCGATTCGTAGAGCTTTCCACTTAAGTGCTGTATCGATTGCATGTTGCAGGCAGAAGAAGCTTTGTGTGAGGTTAAAGGAAGTCTTTGTGATGCTCCCTGCACTGCACATCCATCGTTAAGACGATCAGACGGATGAATTTTAGCACATTGGCTACCTAGTGGATTTCTGGAGTGGTGATGTGAAAGTGCTGTCTGAAGTGCTTGAGTCTGACGTTTGTGTCAGATAGCAGGAGTTGTGTTTTCTATACAGCAAGACAGAGATATTAGCTCCCTAAAACAAATGTATCTGTTGAAAAGTTAAGACACAGAGTGAAAGGTGCCTCTCAGAACCTTTTCTGCTCGACTCACATTCTCTCATAATCGCTTTTCACAGTCTGTTCTGCTCTACTCTATCGCAGTGGTTTTGCCCTGTTTGTGTAACTCGGTGGGATTGTCTAACAATTTAACAATTTTGACTTTATTTACTGTATAGAGTAATATTTTGCAACATCAATTACCAAAACTTACTCAAAATAAGTTATATATGCACACGGCTGTTCAAAAGTGTTTTGTTTTTTGAAAGAAGTCTATTATGCTCAACAAGACTGCATTTGTTTGATCAAAACCGCAGTAAAAACAGTAATATTGTGAAATATTATTACAATGTAAAATAACGGTTTTCTAATATATTTTAAAATGTAATTTATTCCTGTGATGGTAATGCTGAATTTTCAGCAGTCTTTTGTGACGCGTGATCGTTCAGAAGCCAGACGTCTTTTACCGTCACTTTTGAACAAATGCATCATAGCTAAATAAAACTATTAATTTCTTTAAAAAAAGCTTACTGACCCCAAACTTTTGAACAGTAGTGTATATATTTGTCACATTGTAAATGCAGCATCTCATATTTTATAATAGGTATAGAGCCCTGATTTCAGATTTTGCTGCTGTCTTTTTGTTTTTTGATAAATAAAGGCTTAGACAATTACCAACCACTAGTTATTGATCACATTAAAGGTTGACATTTTCTGTGCATATTTAATAAGAAAATGGCTAAATTGCAAATGGGTAAATACACGAACACAATACAAAAACATTTTTAAAAAATTATTGCGAACATTCTGTTTACTAAAACTGATGGAAAATGTTCAGCCTGTTCACATTTAATCAGTGGCTTTTATGAAGTAAACAAGCACATTTGCATCCCATTAGCATTTCCTCTGTGCACATCTAACATAAAATGTGGGATGCTTTTACTAACCACACGCTCTTTCTTTGTTTCCTGTTTTTCAGTGGCCATGTACAGGGAACCCTCTCTGCACGACCTGACCGAGTTCTCACGTTCTGGTAGCGGCACACCCACTAAGAGCCGGAGTGCCTCCGCTGTGCTGAACGGGGGCAAAGCTGTGAGTCAGAACGAGTCAACGTAGCCCGGCCCGCTACCTTTCGCCTTCACCAAAACCTCTGAAAGCTTGTGACTTCACACAGACTTCTCTCCAAAAAGCTCTCAGCGGTTCAGGACAACATGAAACATAACATAACCACTTGCAAACTAGAGTAACATTTGAGTGGACTTCTTTATAATTAGCTCGTTTTTTTTTTGTTCTGTTTAGTTTGTTTGTTTTTTCTTGATCACCACTATAATAGCCTTTTCCATGTGAAACACAGAAATTGTAGCCTTTCTTACAATGGGACGTTGGGTTGCAATTGAACGTAAGCCATCAAGGTTAATTTCCTAGCATCGTAGGTCCTGATCAAGTAATGCATTTGTTAAGAGTTCGGGGCAGTCAGTGAGGGTTTTAGCTGCACGGGTGCGGTGGAAGGAAGGCACCCCTGTCCTCCATGCTTCCTGAGTGTGAAGCAATAGAGAAGCGCCCATCCCGGTGCGTGGGGGGCTCCTGCGTTCTTGTGCACTCGCTCAGAGAGCTTCGCTCTCTAGCATGGGAATATAAAGCCTGCGTTCTGCTCACATGATGAGTGAAGCTGAGCCTCTCAGAAGCAAGTGGCCACGGCTTGCTAATTGTTTGAATTAGCTGTGAGCTTTTCTTACTTTCTCGTTCTTCCCCAAATCAGTGTTTTCGAGGTTTAACCACGACTGGAGATCCAGCACACCAAAGACAGAACTGTGAGAGTTTTTCCCTCGAGCCGTCAGACCACACCGGTACATATTTACGCATGACAGGAAGCTTTTTCTGATTAGTGAGAGGTTTCAGTATTCGAGGAGATGGATGTGTGGTTCACGAGGGCTGTTCGATGTCACCCCTTTCGTCTCTTTTGCATCCCGTTGTCTGTTTTCTGAGTTCCTTTAGTCTGTGTGCTTGTGTTTTTGCCATGTCGACTGTCCTTTGGTCAATGCTGGTCACCGTTGCTGGTGATTTCCGAGACATGGCGGGACTCCCACCTGGACTGCGTTTTGTGTGTAAGTAATTTATGGTGGTGACAATTTTCTATTTAAATGAGCAAACAAAAAAATTATACTGTGGAACTTAAGTTGGTCGAATTTTTTAGGGTATGTCTAATTTGTAAAAGTGAAAAAAAAAATATTGTACAGGGCATGTACAAATCAGGTTGTGTACAATAAGGACCCTTTTTGTGGCCTGCAGTACAGTATATATATCCTTTCCCTCGGGCAACATAACGTCATACATACTACAGGGGGGTTCTTCTCTCTTCTGTTTCTTTCTGGGTTTCTTTCTTTCTTTTAGATGAACATACAGTATCTGTTGCATGGGAGACTGCAGGGAGGTGAGGAATAGAGCTGCATGATGTAGGCTATGTGTATTAACTCCTCCCTGCATCATATGTTCCAAACTACCAGGATAAAACTGACAAACAACATGTATGTACTGACTGGCACTCTGCCACGTACCTTCAAGTTGTTTCTTATTTGTTGTGTACATACAATGCACTGAATAAAATGTTTATATTAAGATATACTTTTAAAATGTGTCTTTGTGCTTTATTTGCTGACTTCGATCGCTGTAATTGTATTATCATTCTTCAGGCTGTTCACCGGGCAACTGCTCTCATCTTTCTCTTTGCCAATTCGGTTTGTTCTAATGGCCTCTTACATCTTATTTTAATCTACTTACTTTTGGAATTGGGATATTAAATAGTCATATTGTGCCAACAAAATCAAATACTGAAGCGAAAGAGGGATCAGATTGATACCATGTGGGAATCAAAAAAACTGCTCGACTTCATTGCTGTTGTTGGAGCACTTTTGTGTTGTTTCCAGCATGAACAAAAGTAAAACAGCATTTAACAGAGGACCGTGTTGTAAGAAGCTGACAAATAGCGCTGCACTGGGGAACGGATGTTGTTTTTGATGGTTTCCTGGCTGGTGCTGGCATGTTGAGCCAGTGATGTAGCCAACTATATCACTTCCTCTGGACCGAGATGAATTACCCCTCAAAAAATCTGCTCTTTAATTGCCTGCAGAGTCAAGACTACTACATGGTGTCTACCTTGTGAAGCAGTTCCATGTAATGAATCAATATGGTGGTAGACAGCTTTGTGACTAAGACCGAGTTCCCTAGAATAATATAGTGTGTTTATATTACAACATTCTATTATAGAGCAGTAGATCCATACAGTTCACAATATGGATATCGATACTCTTGATCCTTTAAGATATTGTGATATGTCAATCTTGGATACCTTGTTTAAACTTTTGGGGTTGGTAAGATTTTTTTTATAATTTTGAATGAAGTCTCTTAGGCTCACCAAGGCTGTATTTATTTTATCAAAAAAGTAAAAACAGTAATATTGTTATATTATTACAATTTAAATTAAAATTTTTAAAATGTAATTTATTCCTGTGATGCAAAGCTGAATTTTCAGCATCATTACTCCAGTCTTCAGTGTCACATGATCCTTCAGAAATCATTCTAATATGCTGATTTGCTGCTCAAGAAACATTTATTATTAACAGTGTATAACAGTTCTGCTGCTTAATATTTTTGTGGAAACCATTATTTTTATTGATTTATTTTTGAAAAATAATCTTTTGCTCTTTGAAGAAGTTCCAAAAGAACATTTATTGGGAAAATAAATCTTTAATAACACCAAACTTTTCAATGGTGTATAAAATGGTGTTCACACTTGATTAGTTTTGCCATCATCTAAGGCTCACTTAAAGGTTTATCTTTAAAAATACTAGCAATTTGATAATGTAAATATAATCTTTGGCAAATGAATAAAAAAAGTTGTCATAATGTACATTATAATGTGATGTCAAAATTCATTTATTTGAAACAATAGATTTTTGTTTTGTTTTTTAATTTCCACAAATTAGTATAGACTTATTTTGTCTGTATAGACAAATTGTATATAATTTTAATATGTGACCCTGGACCACAAAACCAGTCATAAGGGTACATTTTTTTAAATTAAGATGTATATATCATCTGAAAGCTGAATAAATAAGCTTTCCATTGATGTATGGTTTGTTAGGACAGGACAATATTTGGCTGAGATACAACTATTTGAAAATCTGGAATCTGAGGGTGCAAAAAAAGTCAAAATATTGAGAAAATCGCCTTTAAAGTTGTCCACATGAAGTTCTTAGCAATGCATATTACTAATCAAAAATTAAGTTTTGATATATTTACAGTAGGAGATTTACAAAATATCTTCATGGAACATGATCTTTACTTATTATCCTAATGATTTTTGGCATAAAAGAAAAATCAATAATTTTGACCCATACAATGTATTTTTGGCTATTGCTACAAATATACCCCAGCGACTTAAAACTGGCTTTGTGGTCCAGGGTCACATATTAGTAAATCCCTGTATATTAAATGTATATAATTTTTGATGAATATATATGTGTGATGTCTATATATGTGAGTGTGAGAGGGATTAAGTAAGGATCGCTAAAAATGACAGAAATGGTAAGAATGTCTTTGGTTGCAGTGCAGTATGTACAGCAATCAAGAGGTCTGTGTGTTAGCTCTGTAAGCAGAAATGAACTAATGAGAAGTCTGTTCCACAGCAGCAAGTACGACACATTTCATCTCTTATGCTGCACTCCCATTATTTCCTCTCTGTGGCCCTTTCTTCTTGTTCATTAGCCAGCACACTCTAATTCATTAACACAGACAGTTCTGTAGCACTGCAGGCTGCAGCCAACTGGACAGACAGCAGCTCACAGAGCATCCAGCATAATGAAGACAAGCCCTCAGGGGACCCAAGTAACACACTATAGAGACCTCACACACCAAACACAACTTATAGACATTTACAAATCTTATGAACAAACAGTGAAAGCAGCAAATTCTCAGTGTAAATGTGCTTTTTTAGAATGTAAAAGGTTTACATATATAAAAAGATATCTTTATTTTATAAACAAGTATTTTAAGGAATGCACCAATATTTTCATATTATGGCCAAAAATACTATTTTGTCTAACTCAAAATAAAACACTAAAAACAAAAATCAATCATAAATGTTACAAGTGAATTTAGGCATCACAATACTAATGTACAGTATCATGTACAAAAATGTGTTTATTTTGAGATTTTCTATTAAATTAGATATTTAAAAGATTAACTTCAAGCATTAGATGATGTTAGATTTAAAAAAAACAGCTGAGATGGGGTAAGATGTGGAATGATGCCCCCTGAAGAACGATGATCATTTTTCTTTTTTTTTTCTTTTGAACATAGACAGCACAAAAATCTCACCTCAACTCATTAAATTTACTCATTTTTTAATTTTGTCACTTTATTTGTTCAATTCTTAATGGGGGATTTGTGGAAACATCAATGTTTTTAGATTTGTGGAGTAAATAGTTCTGTAGTAAAAAGATATACATTTCATCTTTGCTTTTTATTAAAACCTATAGGCTGAGTGAAATCATTCAATTTACATTCATAATGTTGCAATTATGATGGATCTTCAATAAAAATATGTGCATCTTTGAATAATTTAACTTTTTGTGCTGTGACAACTAAATTAGCAAATGTATTAATTTCCCTTAATAACACATTGGCTGATGCCTCATCATCCTGCACGTGAAACTTAAATATGTTACCATTTTAAAGTAAATGCATATTGTTCTTAATCTTTCCTCATCTAACCCTATATATATATATATATATTAGTGCTGTCAAATGATTAATCAAAATAAAAGTTTGTTTCCATGATTGTGTAATGTGTATATTTATTATGTACAGTATATATATATACACACACATGCATGTATATATTACAGAAAAATATGTTATTTTTATATATTAAATATATTTATAATATAAATTATATTAATATAAATATAGACATGTAAATAC